ACACTGATTTTAATTTTGCCATTAGTGGAGTCCAGACTGAAGATGTAGCAGTTTACTACTGTCAGGGTCGACATAACATCAACAGTCAACTTTTGTTCACACAGTGAAAAAGGGTCATACAAAAACCTCCCTCAGTCTGAACGCTGCTTCTCTTTTTTTAGTTTTGACTCTGGGGACAGAAAGCAGACCTGCCCCAGACGGCCTGAGAGTTCTGGATGGTTCGTAACGAAGCAGAAGATCAGAAATGTATTTTGGCCATTTGGTGCTTTATAAACTAACAGCAGGATTTTCAATTCTTTGACATACAGGAAGCCAATGTAAAGACCTTAGAACTGGAGTGATGTGATCTTTTTTGGTCTTAGTGAGGACTCGAGCAGCAGCGTTCTGAATCAGCTGTCTGATGGATTTCTTAGTGAGCCCTGTTAGGACACTGTTACAGTAGTCGACTCGACTGAAGATAAATGCATGGATACATGAGACATAAGTCCTTTAATCCATGATATATTCTTCAGGTGATAGTAGGCTGACTTGTCTTAATGTGGCTCCTCAAATCCAGGTCTGAGTCCATGACCACACCAAGATTTCTGGCTTGATTTGTGGTTTTTATCATTACAGATTAAAGTCGAGCGCTGACTTTCAGTCGTTTCCCTGGCTCCAAAAACAATAACTTCAGTTTTGTCTTTGTTCAATTGAAGAAAATTCTGGCACATCCAGCCATTAACCTGCTCAATACAATTACTCAGCACTTGTATGGGATCATAGTCCCCTGGTGAAATGGTTATGTAAATCTGTGTGTCATCTGCATAATTATGGTAACCTATTTTGCTGTTTTTCATAATCTGAGCCAGTGGAAGCATGTAAATGTTAAACAAAAGGGGCCCCAGAATGGAGCCTTGGGGAATTCCATTTTTTCATTTTGTCATTTTTTTCAGCTCAGATGTGTGATTACCTATAGACACAAAGTAGTCCCTGTCCTTTAAGTAGGATTCAAACAATTTTAGTACTGTGCCAGAAAGTCCAACCCACTTTTCAAGTCTGCCTAGTAATATGTTGTGGTCGACCTTGTCGAATGCAGCACTGAGATAATAATAAGACTGAAATTCTGCCACTGTCAGTGTTTAAATGGATGTCATTGAAGACCTTAACAAGAGCCGTCTCAGGGCTGTGGTGTGGTCGAAATCCTGACTGGAAGACATCAAAACAGTTATTTGGTGCCAAGAATGCACTAAGCTGTTGAAAAACAGCCTTTTCAATGACTTTACTTAAAAATGGGAGATTTGATATGGGCCTGTAATTGCTCATTAGTGAACTGTCCAGATTGCTCTTTTTTAAGAGTGGCTTAATGACTGCAGTTTTCAGGGCCTGTGGGAAAAAACCTGAGAGGAGAGACATGTTGACAATTTGTAGTAGATCTGAAGCCATATATTTAGAAACATTTTTGAAAAAACCTATATCAAGGCACCATGAAGAGGATTTCAGATGTTGTATTATGTCCTCCAGGTTTTTATGGTTAATAGAATCAAATTGTGTCATACTATATAAATTGTTTTTAAGTGGACACAGGGACAAGACAAATCCTGTAACTGATATGGAAGCACTGATTGCTTGTCTAATTGTTTGAATTTTGTCTGTGAAGAAGGTGGCAAATTCATTGCAGGCCCTGGTGGATAGAAGTCCAGAGGCTACAGACACAGGAGGGTTGGTTAGCCTGTTGACAGTAGCAAACAGGGCACGTGCATTATTAGTGTTTTTGGTGATGATGTCAGAGAAGAAGGACTGCCTTGCATTTCTCAGTTCTAAATTATAAATGCGAAGTCTCTCTTTATAGATGTCATAAGACAAAAACTGTGTAAAATCTAAGATAAACTTCATTATATCATCGTATGCTGACGATACATTTAGTATCTATTCCATACAACGCTGTTCAGTATTTCATATTTATGTAAACTACATTTTGTTATGATTCTTTCATTCTTCAATCACATAGCAGCGTACTACGCAGAGCAGCGTACTACTCGTCATTAATAGAGGAAAATAGGAACAACACCAGGTTTCTTTTCAGCACTGTAGCCAGGCTGACAGAGAGTCACAGCTCTATTGAGCCAAGTATTCCCATAGCTCTCAGTAATTACGACTTCATGAGCTTCTTTAATGATAAAATTCTAACTATTAGAAACAAAATTCACCAAGACCTGCCCTCAACTGGCACCAACTTATCTCTAAACTCAGGAACCTTAAAAACAACTGTAGAACCAGATATATGTTTAGACTGTTTTGCTTCCCTCAATCTTCAATAATTTCTTCATCTAAACCATCAACCTGCCTTTTAGACCCCATCCCGACTAGGCTGCTTAAAGAAGTTTTACCTTTAGTCAGCACTTCTATACTAGATATGATCAATTTATCTTTATCAACAGGCTATGTACCACAGTACTTTAAAGTAGCTGTAATTAAACCTCTTCTGAAAATGCCCAAACTTGATCCAGATGTTTTAGCCAACTATAGACCTATATCTAACCTTCCATTTCTCTCTAAGGTTCTGGAGAAAGCAGTTGCTAAACAGCTGTGTGAGTCCATCATAGCACAGAGACAGAACTGGTGAAAATTACTAATGACTTCCTCATTGCATCAGACTTGTCTGACAAAGGACTTGTCTCTGTACTGGTTTGATTAGATCTTAGTGCTGCATTTGATACCATTGACCATCAGATCCTATTACAGAGACTGGAACATTTCATTGGCATTAAAGGAACTGCTCTAAGCTGGTTTAAGTCCTATTTATCAGATCGATTTCAGTTTGTACATGTTAACGATGAGTCCTCCATGCATGCCAAAGTTAGTCATGGAGTTCCACAAGGATCTGTCCTCGGACCAATCCTCTTCACTTTATATATGCTTCCTTTAGGCAATATTATCAGGAAATATTCCATAAGCTTTCATTGTTATGCAGATGATACTCAGTTATATCTATCGATCAAGCCAGATGAAACTCATCAGTTAGCTAAACTTCAAATGTGCCTTCAGGATGTTAAAACCTGGATGATCTGTAATTTTCTAATGTTAAACTCAGATAAAACTGAAGTTATTGTTCTGGGGCCTAAGCACCTCCGTGACGCATTATCTAAAGATATAGTTTCCCTGGATGGCATCGCCTTGGCCTCCAGCACCACTGTGAGGAATCTTGGAGTTATCTTTGATCAGGACATGTCTTTTTTGACCTATGTAATATTGCGAAAATCAGGAACAACCTGTCTAAACATGATGCAGAAAAACTAGTCCATGCATTTGTTACTTCTAGGCTGGATTACAGCAATTGCTTATTATCAGGCTGCTCGAAAAAGTCCATTAAGACTCTTCAGCTGATCCAGAATGCTGCAGCTCGTGTTCTGACGGGAACCAGGAAAAGAGATCATATTTCTCCTGTTTTAGCTTCTTTGCATTGGCTTCCAGTGAAATCCAGAATAGAATTTAAAATCCTTCTTACCTACAAAGCTCTTAATGGTCAGGCACCATCTTATCTTAAAGAGCTCATAGTACCTTACTATCCCACCAGAGCACTGCGCTCCCAGAATGCAGGGTTACTTGTGGTTCCTAGAGTCTCCAAAAGTAGACTAGGAGCCAGAGCGTTCAGCTATCAAGCTCCTCTCCTGTGGTTCCAGTTTGGGTTCAGGAGGCAGACACCATCTCCACATTTAAGAGTAGGCTTAAGACATTCCTCTTTGATAAAGCTTATAGTTAGGGCTGGCTCAGCTGAGTCCTGAACCATCCCTTAGTTATGCTGCTACAGGCCTCAACTGCTGGGGGATTTCCCATGATGCACTGAGCTCCTCTCTCCTCTACTTTCTCTCCCTCTGTATGCAACCTCATCCCATTATTGCATGTTACTAACACAACTTCTCCCCTTTCTGGTAGTCTTGTGCTTTCTCGTCCCTCTCCTCTCTCCTCCTATCACTTCCTGCAGGTTTTCTGGCTCTGGAGCTGTGGAGTCTGGATCTGTTGTTGCGGGTCACCTGCTGCCCCCGTGTTCCTGCTCGACACCCTCAGCTGCAACGACTATTGTTACTAGTCCTATTTTTATTATTGTTATTATAATCATTAACATTACGACTGTTATCATTAACACTACTATAAATATCTTTACCATTTTTCCAACCCGGTCTCACTCCCAAGTCGTCACATATGGACACTTGGTCAAGAGCCATAATCGTCAGTTTGTGACGCACTAGGGATCCCTTTGACGTCATAGTTCGACGTATTGAGGGAAGCCCTGTTGTGTCAGTTTTTGATGGTAAAGGCAAGTATGATATTTAAGAGAAAAGACGAAGTAAGGAGGTGATTGGGGTGGATAGAGGGCCAGAACCCGGACCTTGAAGCAGGAGAACAGGGTTTGTGTCCCGTGCGAAACAAAACATTAAATGTTTTTATTTAGGCGACGACAAAGGGCCTTGACCACGCGTCAGATATTTGACGAGTAGAGAGTGAGACTGTGTTGATTTTTCATTTAGTCTATAGCAACATCACCTTTACTGTCTGTACCTCTGTGTGTGTATATTGTGTAGGCTGCCTCCCTCCCCTCTCTCTCCTTCCATCCCTCTCTTTTTCTCTCTGTTCCTCTCCTGCCCTCTGTCTCTCTCGCTCTCTCTCTCTCTCGCTCTCTCTCCTTCACCCCAACCGGTCGAGGCAGATGGTCGCCCACCCTGAGCCATTGTTCTGCTCGAGGTTTCTGCCTCTTAAAAGGAAGTTTTTCCTTGCCTCTGTCGCCTAGTGCTTGCTCTTGGTGGGAACTGTTGGGCTTCTGTAAATAGTATCATAGAGTCACGGTCTAGACCTGCTCTTTTATGAAAAGCGCTGTGAGATAACTGTTGTTATGATTTGGCGCTATATAAATAAAATTGAATTTAATTGAATTGAATATTCTCATCACCAGTAAAGAGACATCTGTTTTTGTTATAAAAACATCAATGAAAAAAATATTTGATCTTAAGAGAAATTATCTTTATTGTCCTGCAGCATCAACACTATCAATATTATTACAATGGTGAAAATGTCACTATTTGAAGTTGAACAATGTAAAGTTGATCTGATCGCTGGGAATACTGGTCTTAACAGTTTTACAGTAAAAGTATATTTTTTCTGGATGCAATTTTGATGCCTTAGGCAGCCATCTATGAAGCCTATAGGAAGCGCTTTGAGGAGATATCCCTTTACTATCTATACAGCCAACACCCTCCACCCTTAGACTTGATTTGGAGTCATGAAACACTAAAAAACAACCAAAAAACAGACATTAGTATTAGATGTCTAACATTTGGGATTGCCGTTTATTATTATTTGCAGATCATGTTAATCACATAATGTTCTTAAGGGGAAAATTATATCAATACATGCACTTATATGTTGTTGCATATGTTGGCTTCCCTCTTTACACGGTATACAAAATTCAGTTAGAGTGCAAATGCATATATTTAAAAATTAAGTTTATTATAAAGTTGTGTTTGTAAAAGGAAAACTTAAGACAGTAAAGAAATATTTAGTAAAAGCCAAGTGTGTTCATTTCAAATTATTCAGAATGAAAATTACATTATGTTATGTTACATTACGATCATTTTCAGTTTAAACAAGCCCATTTCAGGAGCGATTTCCTCTCTGACCTCCACGTTTGCGCTGAGCTCTGGTGTGGAGACTCATGGGGAGAATGCCTGGAGGTTGGCTGGAAGGGGTCACTGCTAAAACCCTGCTTGATAGCAAATGGTGAAGGGATAAGTAGGTTTTACTCTGGTGAGAGGGGGCAGATTTGCGGTCCATGGCCTCTGTCATTCGCTCTAACCTCCTGGTCATGGACCACAGTAGAGAGTGTGTTCGGCCTTCCATCTGACGGAGGTTCCTCTCTAAGCTCAACCGCATCTCTACCAGCTCTGCTTGCAGCTTGTCAAACAAGACACACTGAATGTCCAATAAGTCCTTATTATCCACCCTTGTATCCCTGTTGCTGCTCTGTGTTGTGGTGGCATGTGAGGATGTGGTGGTATATGGGGATGTTGGTCTTTGTTCCTCACCTTCCTTTTCCTTCTCTGGCAGTCCTGTGGGTGACAAGAACATCATAATGTTGTATGAAATGTTAAATTGTGATATAAATATAAATTGTGATAAATTTTAATTGGTTGTTTGATCTATCTATAAGTTTACCATAAAAACAGTATCGCACATTTGTGATGGTTGACATATTGCCATCGGTTCATGGTATTTATCACTTACCCAAACCACATTTGTAAACATAATTGTTTGAGGTCGTATCCAGTTCATAGTATTCATATGCATAATTTAAGAGTTTCTAGAAAGTTTGTAGAAAGATAATCTGCATTCTGTGCAATTTGTGTGTTTATGCGCACTTTGATATGGTTGGGATTAAAGTTAGTGAACACATTAAAGCTACTATATAACGATATGTAGTTTTGTTGTTTTATTTTCCATTGGTTCAATGAGTTCTGTTGGATGTCTTTAGAATAACTTCAGAGAGAAGAGAGAGACACAGCAGCACTACCTGCCACCAAACCTACCAGGTTTGAATGAAGGGTCACTTGGAAGAGTCAACACGGAGGTAGAGGAACTCATTTAAAAAAAAGAAATATCTTTAAATTAATATAAATTAATATTTTTTTAATATCATTTCTTCTGATAGTAACACTTCCTCATCATAATGTTTGGTTAGTGGTCCTTCAAATAAATTGTTTTTTGTTTTTTTTTCAAGGCAATGTTTAAGATGTTGTAGATCAAAATGTTGCCTTAAAAAGAGAATTAAACAATTTACATCTTTGTCTTGCATTCTTAATATTTTTGCCATGATATGTGCACACTGGGTCTCTCTTCTGGTTAATGTGTCTCCAAAACCACAGGCATGTTTTTTATCCACTGCACCATCACCACACCCACTAATTTAAGCTATTAGTTTAATTTTTAGGTTCATACAGTACTTACTTTAATCAAATGAATACTTATGTGCGAATCATGTAGAGATAAATATGATTTCTTATTTTATCTTGACACATCTCACTCATCACTCTCATTTTATCCCACTTCTCTGTCTCTCCACATCTCTGCATCTGCCCTTCATCATGCGATCCCCACTCTCTCTTTGTTTCAGTTTGCCTGGCATACTCACTCTCTGATTTATCTACCTCCAGCAGCACTTCTGTTGAGTTGTTTTCTCCCAGACGGTTCCTTGCCTGACATATGTAGATTCCAGTGTTGGACAGCTCGAGAGAGGGTAAAGACAGCACCTGTCCTGAGCCCACCTGGAGTATGGAGCTGGAAGCAGTCCTCCTGTACCAGGTGTGTATCACTGCTGGTGGGTTAGCGGCACTACTGCAGGTCAGGTTCACACTTCTGCCCTCTGCCAGGCTGCCATTGTGATTTACCTCAATTGTCACGTTCAATGGAGCATCTGTACAAAAATCAGAGACTGCTGTCACCATATACTCATGTCTGGATCTCTAATGCAAGTTTAAAATATTTGAATTTTCAGTTTGATGGACTATGATGAGTCTGCTTGGGAGGACACACATTTCTATACGCAGCTCTAAAACTGGTATAGATGAAACTACACACGCCTATTAAACAAAACTACTGACAAACAACCAAAAATAATTAATAAAGGGTAAATTGTTACAAGCAACTGGCTCCCATGTGGGCTGGTGTTTTAGCACCATATTGTAAACTTGTCCTGCTGTGAAACCAACTTTGTTTCAGACTTATATACCCTGGCTTTGGATGGCCATTACAGTGAAAGAGAGGTCCATTGTCATTAAAAAATCGAAGTTAATTAATCAATGCAAAACATTTAAGATTATTTGCTTCGATAATTACATATGGAAGACAGTACAGTGAGATTTTAAGTCTTGTTGGTCAAGTTCATCAAGCTTAAGTACTGATAATAATAGAAACATGGTTTCAAACGGAAAAACCTTTGACTTGTCCATTAGATATTAGGTAAAAGTGAAATCTTTCAATAATAAATAATGCATAGTTGAGAACTTTGAACCCATTACGGTATCATTGATATACTCACATTGAACATCCAGAAACACAGGATTGCTCTGCACAAACTCCTGGCCTTTAACAGCACACGTATAACTCCCAGCATCCCCTGCACCTGCCTGGAAATGGGGTGGTTTGGCCACTGGTTGCCCATTTTTGTACCAGACAATCTGGGTTAGTCCGGGCAGTGTGCAGGATGTGTCACATGTTAGAGTCACATTTTGTCCTACCCTAACACTGTCAGGTTTCACGCTGGCAGTCAGATCTGAGATCAGTTTAAAGAAACAGATACAGATGTTAGATATACAGAAACTTAACAGAAAATATTAAAACGTGATTTTGACAAAGCACACAAAGTGAGTAATTATCAGGGAACTCTACCTGTTAAAGACAAATACACAGATCTTTTACTGCGCCATCCGTATGTGTTTGTGTCAAATCTGAAGTAGTAATATCCAGTGTCATCGTCCCGTAGGTCATAAAGTTCTAAGCTACAATTGTGCTCTCGGTCACCGATATATTTCACACGATTTTGATATGAAGAAAGACTTGAGAGCTCAGTGCGTTTCCATCTGCCATTTTTGATGTCCCCTCTGAACCATTCATTCTTGTGGACAGTTTCCCCGTCTGGGTAGTCATAAGAACACCTGAACTGTACTGATGATCCCTTCAGAGCACAAGGGTCTGGATTTTCAAAAGTCACTGACCAAAAGGTGCTCACTATTCCTGCAGAAACATGGAGCATGGCACATAATATTTGCACTTAATAACAATCAAAGTGTCAAAGCAAGATGAACAGCGTATTTGAAATGCCAATTTAATAATAATAATTGGTTAATTGGATCCAGAATTATTAATCTGTGGCTCCTCTCCACCCCCTTTTTAGCACAGTTTCAAGAGTATGCCATCTTGTTTCGGGTTTTTTATAATACTATACATCCTATTAACAAAATGAAGTTTTCAACCTACCAGGCTGTGTAGTTGACACAGATAGGGGTGGAGGAACTGAGAAAAAAGACAAGAAACAATTTTCAGGTTTTAGTTACTTTCATTTTGGGCCATGACATCAGTGGTGCTTCAGTGCTGAATACATTATTTCATGGCGACATCTTCTGGTCCAAAGGTGACATTGCACATCTTTAGGAGAACACAGATGATGACAGCAGCAGGAAAGCAGTTTGGGAAATGAAGTCTGTCAGATCAGTTGAGCTCCACCAACAAAAGAACTAAAACGGGAGAAAGTCCCCCAAAATATGTCTGACTTTTTGTTCATACTATATGCCAGCTTTTCCAGTGACATAGGAGCACAAATAATTTTGTCAGAAGGTGTGAAAGATTGAAGTTTGTTGCATTTCTTAGTACATGGTGTGTGTGATTCACCTGTAACCACACCCAATAGCAATGTCATGGCGTACTGGCCGACCATAGAGTACCCCTCTACATAACCTCAGCAAGGTGAAATGTTAAATTGCCAGAATTCAATCAAAAGAAGCAGTTGTTAAGTTCATCTTTGATGTGTTTTGTTACAAATACATTTACACATATGGTACATAGTAAAAAATTTCAACTTTTATGTAAGTCATGATGTTCCATTAAGTATCAGAGGGTGCCACTGTACTCACGAATGACAGTGAGGTTGAAGGGGGCGCTCTTCTCCATCTCCAGCTGGTTTGCAGCTGTGCAGTAGATGGGACCAACCAGGTCTGTACTTTGAATACCACTGATCGTCAGCGTACTGGATGTGGTCTCCTGCAGTTAAAATGTAATGATTAACAGAATGACACAATAAGAGATTGAATTAATGAGATACAGATTAGGAATTTTTTTTCAATATTAATTAATTTAGTATTTTAATTTGTGTGGTTCAGTCAAATTCTTCTTGAATGCAGTCCAGTCCAAATTCAAATCTGATGGGATCAAAATACACATGAAGTCTCACCTCTTCAATAGCAAGTCTTGCGTTGTCAGCCATGATGGGTGCAGTGCCGTTGGTCCAGGAGAATTTGAGGAATGAACCCTCGGCAGAGCAGGTGAGAACCACAGTGCTGTTAAACTCTACCCTCTCAGACACGTTGGCCCTGATGGTCACATTCAACACCGGCTCTGCATGTAAAAGCAAGGTCATTTGAATGGGGAAAGTTTCACTGAATGGTTCAATGCGTGGTACTAACATTGCCGGGGTTCGTGGTTCTACTCCTACATATGTACTTTTTTGGGGCAGATAAAAAGTGCCAGAAACTATCAATCTCTTTTCCTAAAATCAGTAGTTGTTTGGCAGAAAGAGGCAGTGCTCTATTTTGCCCTGAGATTTCATCATCAGCATATATGTGGGCTAATAGCTGTTGGTGTATATAACAGAAACCAATGCAGGTGTTTGTGTGCAATGACAAGACATGACAAGCTTTTTTCAACCAGATATGTGAATAGGAAGAACAACATGGGAAACAACACACTTTTGTGCAATCTGATAAGCAAGCACAAACACGTGTCAGCCTACATAATAAGCTTATAATTGAGCTAGCTAGTTAATAAGACTAAGAATCTACAGACACGCTAGCAGCTCTTTGAGGCTTATGCACAGATGTGCTTTCAGCTAAATACTTACTTCAGAATACATGCCATCAGCATGTTGAGTACACGTAAAGTTTAGAGGGTTCACTATATCAGTTTATTGTTAGCATGCTTACATATTGCTAATTTACATTTACATTTACTCATTTGGCAGACTCTTTTATCCAAAGAGACTTACAACATACAAGCATCAGTAAAGCATGAATAAAGTAAGTGACAATAGATACTAGTACGAGCAGCGATAAATACTAGTAAGTGCTATTAGAGTGTACGGCTTCAGTGAGGTAAATACCTAGGGAAAGAAGTAAGAGTTAGGGGTTAGAGGTAACTAGCACACAATTTACAATTGAGGCTGATGGGAATGTGGGTTTGCAGGTATTTGTTTTGGCACTATTCCTACTACATTCATTGTGTGGGGGACATGAATTTGTCCCAAGTTAGTAGCCGACATCATCTGGGTAAAACAGATATCTGTATACAATCCACCCAACAGTTGAGATATTTCAGTCTGGACCAATGTGGTGGACCAACGCATTGTTTTAGATTTTTTATGTGGAACGCTATCTTGCCCTTTTGACAATAGCTGGCCTTTCTGCACATGCCTTTGGGATCGGATTTTGGATTGCCAGGGAGAAACATCGAAACCAGAGGGCGCCGGGAGATGGCCTTGAAATACAGGAGAAACCCAGGACAAATGGAAGTGTTGGCAGGAATGCATCGCTGAACTGAAGTTACACACAGTAGCTCACCCAGAACTCGGAGCTTGATCTCTCCAGTCTTTACCCCTTTGCCGGTAAGGATGTTGACATAATAATCCCCGCCGTCGATCATGGCCAGAGGCCCCAGTGTCAAGAACCCGTTGGTCTGGTTTACGGTCACTCTTCCCTGGTAATTCTTAAATACTATGCTCTCTTGTGATCTGCTCAGGGTGGCAATACGCATCAGCTCACCCCCATTGCTGAAAAACCAGGCTGTGGCATTGATCTCCTCTTTGGGATCAATCAGGGTTTTGAAAGTCACATTTGTCCCTGAGACGGCTTCCAGAGGACCCTCAGGCAGTGCATACCATTCACAGCATCCTAAAACAAAAATAAAAAACAAGCTTTCAGGTTCAGGTTTAGCACTAAATATGGGATTATTCTACTGTGTTGCTCTGTTTAAATTGACTCTCCATCTAGCAATGCTTATCAGGAAATGATTGGTTAAAAGAAGTGTCTTTGTTTAATTTGTTTGTTAAATCGGACTCCATATTTTTTGTACCTTTTCACTTACTTACTTACATTCTACTATTTACTACATTGGACACGTTTTTTTTCTCTATATTTTAACATACTTTCACTATGCACCGTCTCAGGAGATGTTAACTAAGCAATTCATTGCATATAATCAGTAATTATGTACAACTATGTATGTGATGAATAAATCTTTGAATTTGAAATTCCACCTCATACCATACATTCTCACACCATCTTAAGGTCTGGCTTTTGAGCATACAAAAATGTGAACATCTCTCATAATAATAATGTATGTCTGTCTCTATATTTTAGCTGTCCTGTAACTTTTGGTATATGTATGCTAGATAGATGGTTAGATGGTAATTTTATTAATACCCTAACAGTTGTATGGCTGTATGGTTATATGTTATATGTTTTATGATGTTATGTTTTAATGGAGCCAGTGCTATGGCATTATGTTTTATTGTTGTATATCAATTGCTGTGTGATTTAATGTGTTTTTTTTAAGCCATTATGTGCCTAGTATAACATCTTGCCAATGGACTACAGTTGAAAATTAGCCTGCTGGCTAACACTGGCACATTTACAGAAATGTTGATTAATGTGCACTGTCCTTAAATAAATAAATGAGAAATGAGAAATGAAATGTATTAAATGCAGGGCACTCCACAGACATACACAAAGTGCAGTAAATTGGTAAAGAAACATAGACTTCTGTGTTCAATGTAAATAGTTCAAAGTAAGACAAAAATCTTGTTACTCCATAATAATGATAAATAATAATATAAAGGCATTATGAGGATAAAGAAGACGCATAGACCATACCTCAATATAATGTGTAGTACATTCCATTAACATAGTCTCCACATCTGTCACATAAAGCACACCTTTTATTATCTCTGTACTTGTATTTCTGCACATATTCTTTATTCTTAACACTGGGAATGTTTGCACATTCCTGCACAAACATTTTAAAAACAGATACAGTGTACTTTCTGTACTTTTGACAGTTTTCTTTCCCTATTTCTATTGCTTGACCTTTGCTTTTTCATTTAAATTGTCATCAACTCTTAAATAAAACTCAGCCAGACTCACCCAGAATTCGGAGCATGGTCTCTCCAGTCTTTTTCACTTCAGAAGTTACCATTGTAGCATTATAATACCCTCTGTCCTTCTTGTCCAGTGGCCCCAGGGTCAAGAAACCATTGGTCCGGTTCACTTGCACTCTTCCCTTGTAACCATCAGCCACTGTCTCTCCTACTGGCGTTACAGTGACAATCGGTACAAGCACACTCCCGTGGTTGAAATACCAAACAAAGGTGCTGAAGTTGTGTTTGAGATCAACCAGGGTTTTGAAAGTAACATTTTTCCCCAAAACTGCCTCCACTGGACCCTGTGGAAGAAGACCATGTCCCACACAGCATCCTGAAAGGAAGAAAAACATTTAAGAGGTCAAAATTATTTGGTGCCTTTAACGGCATAAGCACATTTTGGTTTTGAGTTAAGGTTTGCAAAGGAACAAAAGTACACTAATAAGATAAGGAATTTAGTTATACGATTAATTCTCGGAACAAATGAAAAAATAGCAGTTCAATTGAAAAATGTGTCATTTAAAGTGCTATTTTTACCGATAATGGAGAGGAGAAACAGAAAAGACCCTCATAATGAGCAGATCCACGGTGGTGATGGCCGATTCATGCTTTGCTCCTCAACTTGTTGCTTTTAGCAGGACACACCCATGAAAGGTGACCACACACATGCTTAACATACAATTATCACAAATATAACACTTTATCTCAGTTAATCTCAATTATTAGGAGTGTTCATTCAGTGGGGGATGATTGACTAAGCAGCGCTTACTTGTAATAAAACCTTTACTTTCACACCACCCACCATGGGCGTGTTTTGGTGAAAGAAGATCGTGGGAATACAGTAGATGGTGGAAAAAAGCCAACCAAATAAGCTATGTGTGAAAGAGACAGGTCCAAAAGTTGAGGTTTCCAGCATGGAGTTTGGTGTGACTGTCATCCTTTGACTAGACGCTTTTTATTGAATGCCTATTTTTCCTCCACATCTGTGTTCATATTTGAAAAATGCAATTAAGGGATTTTCTTAAAAGTGGTTTGTTACAGGTGGTCATATTTTTCAAAACTAATATGAAGTACAAATACACAAACAAAGAAGCCTTTCACGTTCTGTGTTCATGTCTATACTTGTATTTTTATGGTCACAACCAAAGCAGTGGAGGGAATACATGTTTTATTGTGAAACGAGAAGACCTCTAATCAGACTCCAAAAAGTTAATCCCACATATGACAATGATATAAAATGTGAGGACATGGATATCTCAAACTACTGACATAATGAAAAAGAACCTGTCAGCAAAACTGAAAGCTGACGGACACACATATCCAACACAGGACGGGAGATTGTCTATGTGCGCGGAGGATGGAGAGGCAGTCAGTTGGGGAGTTTTTGCCCGCCTGCAGAGATAGGCAGGGCCGCACTTAATCCTAATCCATTGAAAAATGTTTCTCTGTGCTAGCAGTGTGTGTGCATTTGTGTGATCCCCCTTGTCCACAGAGCCCTCTATATTGTTCCTGTGGCAAGACAAGGTCCTCGCCACTGACGAGAGTCTATTCTGCATCACATGGGGCACCTGGTCGTAAATGAACATTCAGAATCAAGTAATTGACTAGTGGCTAAGGATTAACTAATGTTCTATTGTCTATTTATTTATTCACTACTTAACAGATAAAGTCAGAAATAGAGAATGCACTCCTGTATTCTGCCTCACATGTTTGAGGAGCTATCGTCACTTAGCCTCACCATGCAAAAGAACGACCTGATCCTCCCCCCAAACCACATCAAAGCTGTAGGAGACAGTGACCAGACTGTACTACAGTTAAAAGGCGAAGGCAGGAGGCATGCTGGAGAAGATCATGATCATCAAGATCAAGAACATGTTTGTTCAGCAGCAGGATGATGAGAGTTTGTTAGGATGACAGATAAATTGATGATTAAGACAGATTCTCTGTAAAGAAGTAGTCGTTGCAAAATGCAATGATTTGAGGTTGTGGAAGGAAATGCAGGGGAGAAGTCTTAAAAAACAATTATGGTAGACAGACAAAGAGTCAGATTTGGTGGATTGCTGAAGGATGAGGTAATCCAGACTCCAGTGGAGTCTTTCAGAGTGCTGAACCCTGACACGTGCTCAGAAGACTAGGCCACCCTTCCCACATGTGGTGTTGATAGTCTGTCAGACCTGGTGAGGCATTTCAAGAAGCATTGCCACACTGCTGATGACTAAAAGTTATTTGGAATTTGACACTGTATGTATGCTAAAGGTCTTTTTGGATGTCTGTAGTATGGGATAAAAAGACAGGACGTGTGATGGGTCCAAGTGAGCATTTTTTAAGCATGCTATCACACATTCAGACTAAAATAACTTTCAACACTGAAGTAAATCTCAACATCTCTACTACATCTTAAAAATCAAAAGCTGGCTACAGCAAATTGTGAAGTTATGCAGTAATGTAATCACTTTCTAACAGTATATTTGGCAAACGCATACATCCATTAATTTTAAGTAAATTATCTTGGTCAGAGTGCAAAACATAGATGCAGATGTCGGTGAAGTTTCTTCTTGGCTTCCTCTCCTCAAGTAGACAGCTGTAGTAGAACATGAAGGTTGCATACTTTATTCCACTGAACCTATACAATAATTATGGTTTTGTAATAGAAGAATTTATCAAAGTACATTCATATACTTTACCTCAATACAATTTTGTGATACTTGTACTTTACTTGAGCATATTCATGTTTAGTTATTTTCTAATTAAAAAGTAAATAATTTGTACTCTTCATTTTATGCAATACAACTTTGTTAGATGTGAATGTTCAAACTTATATTTTAGTACAAAGTAGAGGAGACCATAATATGTTTTTTGATGCTTTAGCTGAAATACTATGTTGTGCTAACCGTGAGATTTAGCCATTTGCACATGTCAGTTTGGGGCAAAGTGACCCAAATCGGATTTTTTATTTTTTTTGTCCATGTGTGACTGAGATCTGATCAACAGTGTGAACAGGCACGTGGAATCTGATCTTTCCCGGTCTAAAGTGGGCCGTTTCCATATGTGGTTCAAATCCGATGCAGATCTCATTTAAAAATGCGACCTGAGCCTCTCGGGAATTGAGCATTAAGGCCTGCAGTGTGAAGGTAGCCAAATAACATGCTCAAAACATTGAGACATTGAGATATTGAGATATTGTGAAATTAACTCTGGCAATAATATTCAGCACAAATTCAGCACTGAATTCATGACACTGTATGAAGAAGGGTCTGTATGCCTGTGGATAGATACTGTCTCATACATGACATATCAGATATGAGGATGTAATGAAAATAAAATATGTTCCCAGGACTTCCTTCTTTCATTTGGTATGACATTTATACAATTGTGATGGATGGTGCCCACGAAATGTTAGACAGTTAAAAAGTGTGAAAACATATCCCAATCTCTCCTATAGGCTATTGTTTTTAATTTTAGTTAAATAACATTGTAAATGCATGCATTTTTACATTGTGATTTTCCCTCCACTGGGTTTTAGTCGTTGGTGTCGACATGTGCAGCGTTTGTGCATTGGGACCTTTATTTTGAAATACATGACAGGAACGCATCATACTTACAGCAGTCTGCATGGGACTTAACTGCAGTGTGTCTCTAGGACGGTTTATAAACAGCTGAAACAGGGAGAGGGGGATGTGAGTGGCCCCAGCGCTTCAACAGGAGTTTATTGCTCCCTTTCACTGTCCACTGAAACTTTCTCAACTTTTAATTTCAAGCCTTCATATTTTTCTTCCACCGCTGAAATGACGACCACCGGGAACTCCCTGGCCGGGGAGGGGATGTATTCCCAACTCATAGAGGACGAGGGCTCATATGACGAGTTCAACAGCAGGCCAGATGTTGGACTTGGCGGTAAGGCCTCACCACAGAGTAGACAAGTATTTAATCTATTTGCTGAGTCTTCGTGGAGGAATTAGGAGTTTTCTCCCAGTGTCATAGCTTAAAGTTGAGTTCATGCTGAGCTTAATTGGTCTTAGTGACTTTTTGAAGAATCAGAAAAAATATTGGATTCACTTCACAAATCAAAACACAGTACTGGGATGCTACATTATTTAACCAATGGCAGTTATTTTGCTCACATTTCATCACAAGGCTCCTGTTTTAATACTGTTTGCATTCAGAGCCTACTCTGTTATCATCCTGCAGATTAGAAGAAAGAATTGTTAGGCGCCAGTAATGGTTGTTAGTATCGATTTGTCAGAAGATCTTTGCATGAAAAATAACTGAACAGCAAATTTTTTTATTATTTATTATTTTTTTCTCTGTATGGATTCATTGTTTCAGCTCTAAACTTTACAAAACAACAGACATAACACCAAAACAAACCACCAAATTAGAACAAAATTCAGAAATAAACAATAATAAAACAAAACAGTCTTAAAATATTGTGGTTTAATCCACAGAATATCAGGAAAATGTGATCAATGTCCCTCACAGTTTTCTAGAAAGAAGGTGAAGTCTTGAAATAGTTAGTATTGTCAAAACAACAGTTCAAAGTCCGGACATATTGTGTTTACAATAATATGACTCAGAGACAAACAGCAAATCTTCACATTTGGAAAACAGAAATCAGCAAATGAAAATAAAAAACAGCTTGTTGATTTTCCATTTAATCGGCATTTTCTGTATTTTCTAGCCACATTAGGCAGCTTTGGGGATGGCAATGTCAGTCGGTAATAAAAAAAAAAAGGATATTTATGTTGTTATGGGTGAAAGGTCAAATGGTTGAAGCCAGTGTGAAAGTCTTGTCAATTGTAAATTGAAAGTGTCACTCCAACTGTTTTTGTGACTCCACACAAATGCTCCTCCTTGGGACTTGGAATCAGCTCTCTGTTGTTTAGTTTCTGACTTATTGATTCATTCTGACAGTTCAATCAGTTTGCTTCTGGCCAATCCACTTTAACTACTGTATCTACTCTACTTCTAGTAGTCAATATATTAGACAATTAATGTATTCCTGAAACTGACACCCTAACAACAACAAAAATATTAATAAATATAACCGCAAGCGGCAATGATCAGAATCCGAGCAAGTCGTGAAAACGCAACGTTTGACAATTTTTTGAGGAGAAGGACAGACCCAGACGACTTAAGAGATTAAAATGGTCAAAGAATTTGGACTTAAAGACAATTGCATAAAACGCAAACTTGATTGTTATATGTAACTGACTACTGGGTGAAATGTTCAACCCACCTGCAACATTTTCTGTTTCCAAGATTTAAAGCTTAAGCTGCACAAGTTCAGATTTCTGCAGAGTAGGTGACTTACTGACTGAGTCACTGGTGAGAGGCCGTTGCTACACACCTTTTCACAAGTTAAGGTAGTGGCGTCACATGTGCCAGACCTGGATAGTTTTGTTTAAACTTAAAATGATTAAAACAGTCAAGATGAAATCTCTGATAAAAATCACACATCATTCTGCTGTTTTTGGGTGTGTCAATTATTTTGATCACATTTGATCCAAAACTGTACAAGTTACTGCAAGATACTGAAAATCACTGCAGACTCACAGTTTGACCGATCTAAAAATCCTTTGCAACGCTTGATAACGGCCATCTAGAGAATGTCAGTGTCGATTTTGGTGAAAGACTTGAAGAAAGACTTGTGGAGATATAGATGTCAATTGAATTATTTATGGGCATTTCTGTAAAATTGTACGTAAAGACACAAAAGTCAAAATTTCTTGGAAAAAAAACAGATTGACATCAAAATTATTATGGTAACTTTTGATCAGCGATGTCCGTAGATGATCCTGCCAAAGTTTCAGGTCGATTGGCAAAACCATCTGGGATGAGTTTGCAAAAATAGGTTTTAGAGAAAAGTGATTAAAAAGTTGCATAATTTGACATTTTTAGAGCAGAAGGCCATTGGAGCAAAGATGCAGATGAATCCAGAGATTAAAATAAAGAAAGAAGTTTGACTCTAAACGAAGCCGTTTTGGAGATAATTGCAAAAATGAAAAGTTGATTGTTATAGCGCCACCATGAGTAGTGGCTGGAATTTGCAAACCACCTGCCAATTTTGGGCAGTTTTCGTCCAGCAGTATTTGCTGTCCTAACACTTACAGCGAAGAAAAACAAGAAAGAAAGAAGAATAATGAGAACAAAAAAACAATAGGGCTCCAGCAGCTTCACTGCTTGGATTCCTAATAATTACAATAATATTAATCCTTGAATCTGTGTGGGAACAAATCTCCATGTTGGTGGTGGCTGCCTCACATCCAAGCAAAGTAATTTCCCTCACTTATTTCCTCTTTTGTTTCATAATTGAGGTGCAGCCAGATTTCCCACTTCTGGCTCTGACATGTTGTACTTTCACAAGTCTGAACAAAGCAGAGGAGATTCCTGTATGGATAAAAGGCTCTGCTTCAAGAAAATGTAATTCATCAGTTAGTGTGAAAACATAAAGCTCTGATATAATATATCAATAATTACTTTTCTAGAAGCATGATTTTAGTTTAGCTGTTTCAGTTTCTTTAATGGAACAATTGTGAAACATAGTGATAAACAATGTTTTTTTAAAAGCAGTAAAGTGTTGAGGGGTTACTTACTAGTGAAAATACCGACCACCCTTATCTCAGAAAATAAGTAAATTATGGCAATTACTTTTTATCACATCATTTAACATTACTTTGTTCACAAAACGTCAAAACAAAGTTGGTATGTTGTTATTAAAGGAACTTGTGTAAAACAAAACTTAGAGAGACTGTAGCCTACATCAGCTGGGGAAAAACAGCAATGGCTGGTTTAAATATGGTAAAGTTGTATTTGATGTGAGGCAGCTTTAACAGTGAAACTTCAAAGATAACTATCATGAGGTGGTTATTTCTTCCTGTCAGTAAGGAAGTCTGTTCAGCTTTGAGAAAGAGAACAATGAGTAGAAAATATGTCATTGGTGACAAGGTGTAGTGTGGGTTGGGGAAGAGTCTGAGATATATAAACTGTATCATCATCATTGTATCTCTCTAATTAGGAGGTCACATGTATTACATTCACAGGGGATACAGTCTGTCTACCAACACATCTCTTGTCCTTGGCTGTCTATAGTTAGCGACTCGTCCCTATCTACCCAGCTGTCCTCATGCACCCACAGAGAAAGACTGCAGTATGAACTAGAGCTGCAACGATTAATCAATTAGTTACATAAATTAACAACAATTTTGATAACTGATTCAAAGAAAAAAAAGGTCAAACCTCTCTGTACTTCAGCTTCTTAAGTATGAATATTTTCTGGTTTCTTAACGCGTTATGGACAAAATATGACATTTGAGGATGTCATCTTCTGCTTCAAGAAAAACTGGGCAACATTTTTCATAATTTTCTGACATTTTATAGACCAAACAACTAATCAATGAATCAAGAAAATAATCGACCAATTTATCGACAATGAAAATAATCGTTGCAGCCCTAGTAGGAGCTATTGCTAGAGAGACGGAGTTCATTCTGTTTGTATGTCTCCAAATGACTCTGTATGACTAGTACCTAGGACTCTTTACCCACCCAGGTCCTTTTAGGGAAATTCCTTCACATTGTGGTTATTTAGCTTTAAGTATATCAGCATGCTGTATCCAGACATCTTGTTTTATTATATTAACTAACAATCTTTCCCCCTTGCCACTTCCAGCTCACCCAGTGTCCCCAGTCAGAATGATCCCCAGGCCGAGTGGCCCCGGGCCCTACCGCTTCGCCATCATCTGCCTGGCAGTACTTTGTGCCATCCTGCTGATCTCCATCATAGCCGTCACTGCACACTGTGAGTGCACCAACTGTCACATGCTCATTTCTTTCATTTCATTTTTCAGTAAAAACACATTTAAAGTAACATTGTGGCATTTTTCGGACCAAGCTGTTGACAAATATTGCATCACATGTTCAATTAACACAAACACATGGACACACAGCAAAGGAGTGAGTGACATTTAGTTTAAGTTCAAGTTTATTTATTGTCATTCATCCACATACTGAGTTTACAAATTAACAAAATGTCATTTCTCACAGTTCAAGGTGGTAAAAACAAAGTCACAATAATTCAACTTGCAAGACAAGACCCATATAATACAACACAGTAACTGACAATAGATGAGACAGGGCTGATCTATTCCCTATCGTGGAGTGAGCATGGCGTGACTGGAGCTTTATAAAATGCATAGTGCAACCTGTATCTGAAGTAAATACAACTTATATGCATATCTATACTTAAATTATATTTAAACAGGAGAACACTGTAAGCTGGTGTAAAAAAATGCAGTTTTTTAAAATTTTTTAATGATGTCAAATGTTTTATTAAGGTAGAAAATGCCACTATCATGCTTTTTACATTTTATAATGATAAACACAATGCAGTCGTTTCTGTTTGAATTTCAGAAGTAGTCTAAAAATATTTTAAGAAACGTAACATCAAGTTTCATCTGGAACAAATAAAATGAGAATATCTGTATTATTCTGTTTAATATTTCTCAATAATGACAATAATAAGTGAGAGTAAGTAAGTAATGTTAATGTTGTTGTTATTTGAGAGCTAAAGGAATTTTTTTTTTTACAGAGGAAACTATTTAGTTTTTTTTGTTTATCATTACAGTCAACAAAGTAATTTGTTTACTGTTGATAATCCAGATGCACTGGCAAATATTTCAGGAGACTCAACAATCCCACTATGTGACTGCTGCTCATCATCATTGCACACTGCAAAAACTAAGGCAAAATAGTTTTTGCAGAATGAGCAGTTTCAGTAAGAAAAAAAAGAGGATACAGTGGTTTGCATTTCGCAACACTTGAAATATGAATATATATATTTTGTCATTAGTATGACTTTATTTTTATACACATTCAGCACATTTGTACACGTCTACACACTCGTGTTGAAACGGCCACACAGTCAGGAGGCTTAAAAGCTGCTTCTGCTTTTAATGATTTCGTTGGCCAAACTTTTAAAAGTTATAAAAGTAAAGATTTTAATTGTTTTTAAATGTGATGATTGGACGGTAGATGAATGAACACATCTAGGCTAGAAAAAAATTACATTCAAACTTAAAGCACCAAATTCCGAAAACACATTGTTATGTTGCACTTCTTGAGGCTGTGAGCCTGAACTTTTCTGCTGTGCTTGTGTTTTTTTCCAAAATCATTTTCAAGTTGATGTTAAGCGTGTATTAACTTACTTGTCCATCGTTCCATTTGTTCCACAGATAAGAGCAAGCCTCAGGGTGGTGGTGAAACGGCCTCGGAGATACATAAGCAGACGCAGGACGCAAATGTGTCGGCTCTGACCTCTTCCATCAGCAAGCTGCAGCAGGAGAAAATCCAGCTGCAGAAAGAGAAAGACGAGCTGAAAGCCAAACTGGCCGCCGCCATGATCACTAAAGGTAGATGACTCTATATTTGTATATAGTTGTGGGTGTTTTTGGTCAAATGCATATCAGCTTTTAGCACCTAGTGTGGTGCGTGAGAGTAAAGTGTGCATTTGAGCCAGAGGTAGCATAAAATATTGATGTTGGATTATTTTGGATGACGTGATGTACCGTTCTGCTTCTGATCCTAAACTCTCTTTCTGTACATCATCAGCTCCTGAGGTGATAAAACCAACGATGAATGTGGAGCCCGCACAAATAGTCTGCCCCACGGACTGGCATCTCTTCAGCAACAGCTGTTACTTCATCTCAAGAAACACGAGGGATTGGCCTGATAGCCAGTCGTTCTGCCAGAAACAAGGAGCTCACCTGGCCATCATTCACACGCCCGAGGAGCAGGTAAATTGCATGGTCACAACATGTAGATGGTGCCATGTCCCGAGCAACGTCATTAGATTTTGTGTTTAGCCGCTTTTCTTCTACTGATTTCAAAAACATCAACAGCTACGTCCAAGAGTTTATGCAATTGTGTAAGGGAAAGTTACTTAACTTAACATAAGTTGACTTATTACTGAAGTTAAGCATTGATACAGTATGAACAATCACATTTTCTATGCGAAGATATTGATCTGTTTGGTGCCTACAGGAAAAGCCACCAACATGTTATTAAACATTAAAAGATATGTGTTTTTGTATAAAGTTCTTATACACAAAAAATCACATGAAAAGACCAAAACCAAACCTCTAAATATTTTCTGATTTCCCCCATTCTGTTGCTCTCTGAAGATTATTTAGATGGCCCAGTAATTTCCTGACAGCTGGTCAGTTTATAACAAACGTGACTAAGACCAGTGGAAATAATGCAACAGTTGGGGACTTTTTCCAGCAGCAGTACAGTGTCTGTGGAACTGACTCAAAATAAACTACGGTGTGTGTGTGTGTGTGTGTGTTCATTGTAATGAAGGAACATGTCACTCAGGATAACTGTGTGGCTCAAGTTTTAATAATTATTGGACAACAATGGATCTCTATGGCACAGAGGAAGATACTTCTGTAAGATAATTCATTGTTGATTTCCTATGTGATATGTTGGCAATAAGAAATATACTGGAATATCACCAGTCTTTACTAAAAAAAAACATTCAGTGAACATAATTTGGGCTTTTACGGAATCAGCCAATATCAACATCCTGTCTCGGGATATTTATGAAATCTCCGCCATTGCTGTCTCTCTACCAACACTCTACTGTACAATCAGTGATGAATGTGTTCCGCGGAAATACTTCAACATTTCCTTTCTATGTGTTTCCTCTCAGACGTTTCTGTGGAATCTTCTACCCAGAGGCCACTGGAACGCCTACTGGTTTGGAATCACTGATGAGCACACAGAGGATCAGTGGAAATGGGTGGACGGCACCCCGCTGGTCGGAGGGTAGGTTCACCTCTTTCATAACTCCTCTGCTTAACATGGTCAGAATCAAACTGCACAGAGAGCCGAAGTCATAATGTCTGCCTAGCCTCGGTTCCACCAACACGTTCTCGTCACATGTTGACGCTTGGTCAAGGCCCTCTGCCGTCGCCTTTTAACGACCTGGGTACCCCATTTGCGCCATTTATTGACGTTTAGGGCTCCGCGGTCAAGTTAGCAATGCTTAGCAACAACAAATATACTTCCGTTTAAGTTAAACATTTACTATGCAATGTCCGGTTAGAATTTCAAAATTAAACGCTAGTGTTTCGAAACATCAGCATTTTGAAACGGCACGTTATTAAAGTCGTGAAACGTTGCAGTTTGGTTCGGTTTAGGCACAAAAAGAGCTTGATTAAGGTTAGGAAAAGATCATGATTTGGGTTAAGTTAACTACGCACGTCAGTTAACACGTAACGTGCTGGTTTTGGCCCTCCATCCATCCCAACCTTGCTAAGTCTTTTCTGTTAAATATCATATACCTGCCTTTACCATCAAAAACTGACGCTCCAGGGCTTCCCCCAATGCGTCAAACTATAACGGTAAAGGGATCCCCGTGCGTCACAAACTGGCGACTTGGCTCTTGACCATAGAAAACATAAGCATCCATAGTCTGAGGGTGCATTCCAAATATAATGTTGTTTTTTTGGTGCGGTTGGCTTTCACACTGCTCTTTTTGCTAGTGAAACAGAATTTGTAAACAAAACCACGTGTGTCCTAAGACCATCCGTTCATTGGTCAGACATTCTGGATCGGGGGAAAACCAGGAAGCTTATGATTCACTATACTATATATATAAGGGCCGGCGAAGAGAGCATGCTCCTATGTGCGCCTACCATGGCATGTTCGACCATTTCAACACTCCTAATTACATAATAAAAATCTGCCTCTCACACTCTACCTACCTAGCCACACAGTGCATTTGTCTTCAGATCTGTCTGTGATATGAAGTATAATTAAAGAGTCAGGCCTTTTTCCTACATTTGAACCTCTTGTCCAGACTAAAACGGCGAGAAAAAAAAAGACCTAAAAATGCTGCCGACCCCATTTTTTGTTTAGAAATTCTGGAGAGCGTTTTAGCGAAGACAGACCAAATCAGAGGACTTTAGAAACGATGACGCAGATGCCCACGTTTGGTTCTCTGATTGGGTCTCATAAGTTATACAAAGTAGAAACACAATGCTACTGACAGAGTTTTGGATTTGTTATTTTTATTAAAACATTTTGAGCAAATAACACTTATCTGCCTACACTTGCACTTTGCATGTCACTGTTTACTTTGCAACGACTCCCAGTCTGTTTTCTGCCACCACAGCCTTTTAACTCCCATGTTACATTCAGAAACAGTCCCAGCTCGTTATTGATCCGTGCAAAATAAAATCTTGTGTGGGTCTTTGTCTGCTTTACTTTATTCTTTCTCCAAATCCTCTGTAACTACGGAAGAGAGGGACCATCTGCTTCAAGTACTGTATACACCGGCACGCGGATGCCCAGTGTATGTGAACGACCACTAGATGTGTGTTTTCAGTTGTTTTAGTATAGACAGAGATCAACTCTGATACGCAGCTAAAACGCTGGTGTGGAAGGAGATCATATTCGTTTTAATTCTCCGTTTCTAAACTAAAACGGAATAGTGTAGATGGGGCCACAGTCTGCAGCTGGGTCTTGGTAAGCTTGTTTGGTCTGCACCCAAGTGTGATTGCTGTATTCACACCTGCCAAAAACATCTGCACCAAGGGGTAAAATTAACCTTAGTTTGTTTCAATCTGGATTGGATCGTCTGGACCTTTTTCAATGTAACAAGGTCATTTTTGTCGGAATGTAATCCACCGGTGGAGTTGATAATAGGCAGTGCTTGAAGTGGGCCTCCAACACCAAGTAAGTTACTTCTACATTTAACTCTTTGGCGTCCCGCGTACCGGTGGGCTCTATGTGGCGCTCATCTGTTCCAATTCCCGCCTGTTTGCAAATCTCTGTCGGCGGAGACGGAGCAGGTAGAAGCTCGGTGCCTTTCGTGCACCCCCAATGTGAATGGGGAGTACCAGCAGGACTGGGCAATAAAACAATATTGAAAATGATCGCAATATAACTTTAATTTAATTCATTTGAATCACGAACATATCAGCACTTTAATTTGATGAGGAAAAGGACTGAAAAAAAGATTACTTTTAATTAAAATATACTTAATCATAATTGTTTTGAATGTTTTACCTCAGATTTGTTAAGTGTTTCCCACAGAATGACAATGTCACTGTGGCACCAGCTATAAACAACGTGCTAATCTCGACAACCCAGCTGTATTCTAACGGTGACTTAGCTCTTCTTATTAGCGAGGTTCCTTAAATGCTTTCTAACAAGTTTTTTTAAGCTGGGTGTCCGACAGCATTGTGTTGGACAGATTTGTTCAGCGGTGTTCATGAGGGAGAACTTTCACTCAGGAGCAAAAATTTGCCTTATAATGATTTGACTTTTATCGTATTGAATGATGTTAAATTTTTTATCGTGATAACATTTTCGGCCGTATTGCCCAGCACCTATATTTTCCACTTCATGCACTTATTATAGGTGGTGGCAGAAAATGTTACCAGAATGCAGGAAATGAACTGTTTCATGCTCAAAGTATTATAATACAATACATTTTATCAAAGCAGTATACAGTTATCTTCTTGTTTTCTTCTTGTGAACCCAGAATTGTGTTTCTTCATGTTTCGTGAGCTAAGTGTATATCACACCCCTAATCTGAGTCCCCGTCAGTTTTCAACGCAAAGTTACGCTCTAACCCCCTTTTTTTTACTTTAAGCCCTGTAATCAAAAAAGACAAGACATGACATGAATTGTAGTTCTGAACTCAGACTTCAGGCTAAATCGAGTAATGAGTTATGGTGCGATAAATAGTTCATCAAGAGTTCATTGCTGCTCAAACTGTGACACCACTCCTCTGGCTCCAGACTGTCTGCGAAACACACACACTTGGACAAACATCCACACAGTGATTGACTGACCATTGGACCACTGTTGAACATTGACCTCTTGCATACCTACAGACTTTGGCACAGGTTTTGGCCTGCGAGCTGCACCGTGACGGTTTTTGACCTGGTTTACACTAAACAACACTAAATGGAGAGACTCAGAAGGCCAGAGTGAAGATGCAGCCAGCAGAAGGAAAAGGCAAAGCAGATGAGGCAAATGTTAAGCACAAACTTCGACTAAATACTTCCTGTTTCACTAGAAAGCCGTCCCATGGAAGATGAACATTTTTGGAACAAAACAATTTTGGATTCAATGGGAAAGTATAGTTTAAAGCTTAAAACTATTGTTGGTATGAAACCAATCGGATCCTTACTTTTAGCCACACTAGCTGTATGGCTCAAAGGATGGCAAGTCAAGGGCCCAGTATATTTTAACTTGAAGTGAGTAACTTCATAACCCCCCCACTGACATTCACACCTACTTCACGTAGTGACTGGCCAGATGTGTGGAGCTGTTAAAGGAGCCAAGGTTTGAACTTCTCTCTCGGGTCTTTTTTCATTCTTGACACACCATTTCTGTCACTTTTTATGTAAACAACCAGGAGCAACACTATGAATATCTTCTAGGAGAGAAAATGTCTGTTTAAGCAATATTACATATCTCTCAAATATAGCTGTTCGGAACAACTATAATAACACTTGGACAGACTTGGACAACATGTCGCATGTACGATTTGTGGTCGAACATAACCAATCCTAAAATGTCTCAACAAATATTGGATGGATTGCCATTAAATTTGGTATAAATATCCATGGCAAAAACTAATAGATGTTATGTATAGAAACAATGAATATTACAGAGTCAGTAAAGAGTTCTAGATGTTCCTCGTGTGAGATAACAGCTGGATGGCCAGGATCAGATCTGCCTGCAAACAGCAGCTCTGAGCAGCGATATGTAACTGCTGTTAATCTGCTGCAGGATGCTGCACTGCAGGTGAACTTGACCTCTGGCCTGTGGTAAAAAACAAATGTGTCAGAGCCAAAGCAGGAACTGTGGATTGATGTAATTTGCTTTAAAATGCAAAGTCTGGTTACCTTCTTTTTCCAGTTCTTTTTTTCTCCGAAGGTTCTTTTGTGCCAACTCAACAGATGCCTAAAGATCACTTGATTTTTCTTCCTCATTTTGAAAATATTTGTTGATGACTAACCTTTTGTCATTCCTCTTTTGCTCCCTACATTCCTTTCCTTCCTCTTTTCCTGCTGAGATGTTTCTTGTTTTTCTCTAATGATGTTTTGGCTTGGTTCTGCTCAGCTGTTGCTGGTGATATAATATTTGACCTTCACCATGAATATGTTTATCTTTTTTTGTTTTGTATGTTGAATTTTCTTTCTCTCATTGTCACTGCTGCTAACACTTGAGTTTTAGTCCGTTTACCTACCTCTCTTTAAAAATAAAATATCAGTAACTTAATACGGGGTGCTTTTGTTTTTGGAACTATTTCAGATGATCTGATTTGATTTCTCCTAATAACCTTTGCTTGTGTCCATGTTTACATTTATCGAGGTTTGACAAGATCTTGTGCCGCAAGAGATCTCGAGTATTAAAACGATATTTCTCGTCAAAGTGAAAAGCTGTCTCACAATATTAGCATGACAGAATGTGAAGTGAAATTTGCATAGATGAAGCCCCTGCCACTTTTTAATTGTTTGTGTGGCAGCGTGTTGTACCCAGTGGAAACAATAATCTGTGAACTTTGAAAATGTGAGCAACATGTTTTGCATTTTGTCACTTTCAGTTGAATAAAAGATCATTTTTCCAGTGATATAAGTCATCATTGAAGATTTCTTAAAAATAGTGTTAAAATATCGTCTCTTCACGTTCTCGTGAGCTAAGTGCATCGTCACACCCCTAATACATACAAAACCTGTCAGAAGACACAAATATTTTTCATTTAAAATACATTTATTTGTTGTGGGCTACAGCCAGTCGTTTTCATTATTGATTTATCAGTCAGTTAATCAAATCAATCAGTCGTTTAGTAGAACCCAAGATGATACCTTCAAATTGTGCCAGACTTATTTAGAACCAAGAATAATGTTCAGTGACGCTTTTGAACATTTGCTGCTAATGACCTATCTGTAGCTTCACATTGTAACTATAGAAAGGACAAGATGTGTTTAATGTTAGGGAAATATTGAGGTTTTATTTAAAATAAAACTAAGAGTGCATGCCCTCAGCTCTGCATGCATCAATGGCAATGCTAACCTGCTATGTTTACTATCTTATTTCAGCATGTTGGCATGCTAACATTTGCTAATTAGCCCAAAGTACAGCTGCAGCTGATGAGAATGTCATTTTTGCAGGTATTTTGTCGTAAACCAAAGTATCAGACTAACTAATGATGACTCTAGATAAAAAGTCAGAGGATCACCAGAGTTATTACAATTCCTCCTGAGGGGAAATTCATTGCCAAACAGTTGTCATTTTCCAAACAGACAAAAATGTCAACCTCCTGGTGGTGAAAGTCAGGAAACCATGAATGTCAGTACACATTTTCACGGTAATCCATCCAATAGTTGTTGAAATATTTTAGTCTGGACCAAAGTTGTAATGTCAGACAGACCAGACACCAGTGCCATCCCTAGAGCCATGCCAGTGGTAGGAAGTAGATTTGGATAGATAGTAGTAATTGGAGTCTGAAAGCACACACATCCACCAACCCAACCTCCAACATCGTAGTTCTTCATGTTGCTTTAATAATACATTTTCTCCTGCTTACTTTCTTCTAACTGTAGTTTTTGGGAGGTCGGCGAGCCCAACAACCACATTGACGAGGACTGTGGCTACATTGTGAAAACACGTGTGTTAGAGAGAGTGGCGATCCGAAGCTGGTACGACGCCCCCTGCAGCATGTACTGGCCCTTCATCTGTGAGAAAGAGATGGGTGCAGGTGCCAGCAACGCTGCACCCCACTGAGAAACATCTTTTACAGAGGGAACATGAGAGACACTTTTTCCTGAAATGAATATATGGTATTTTGGACTTTCCCTTTTTTCATTCATAACAAAAGCATGGACAGTCCGCTTTGTCCAGAACACTAGATACACGCCTGGTTAAAAGTGTATTAAAATGGATTAATAAGTTTACAATAGTACAGAGGAAACTAAAGGTAGCTGTACTCTGCAGCAGTAATCATACATTTATTTTTATGAGTTCTTTATACTGCTTTATACCTTTGCTTCCTTATGCAACTGACTATGTAACGAATATCAGCATTTAAAGAAACTTTTTTGATTATACTTATAGATTATACTTTTATACTTTATTTCTTTTAGGCATCTAATAATAAAAATAGGAATATTACATTAACACAAGATAAAATAAAAGGTGAAAAAGTCCAGTTATGATTAAAAATTGTCAATTAATTTAATCATTACTAAATTTAAACAGGTTACACCACACACAAACTAGTTCTTACATACAGATTAGTTGTTACTAAATATTAACACCCAGTTACAGCCAGGTTTGACTGCTACGTAGCTGAGCTATGTACAAACCTAATAGAATCACTTTCACTGGCCAGGACTCGGTTTTACATTGCTCTCAATGTACATGGACAGAACAAGCATAAACAAACAGGACAACAATCTCAACAAAAACAGACACAAACTACCATGTGCAGATAAACACATTTATACATTTGTAGACAGCAACACAATAGTGCAATGCAGAGTGCAAAGGATGCTGGACATAAGGTATTTTTATGAACATAATTGGTAGCTAACATAGGACACGTTAAGATATATATATATAGAAATTATTTTCTGACCAGACAATGGATCAAAAGGCTTTTTTAAATCATACTTTACAAACATAATACACAAATTACAAAGTGTTATGCGTACATCAGACTTAACGACTAAATAGCATCATTTAGTTTAGCATAATCTGATATTTCCCACACAGTAACGCCCATTTATCCATGTATCGTAAAACTTCAATTAATAGCCTGGGCTTTTATTTGCTCAAATCATTAATCTCACCCTGCCTGTATTTGGGACGGCCGTCTTATATGGGACAGGACTTTAATAAATGAACAATACTTTGGTGCTCACTGTTTCCGTAAAATTAACAGAACAGTTTGTAGCATGTCCATCTTGACATATGTTTAAACATTTATATTGGTATGCCTTGCACAATCTAAGCAGCTTAGAACTAGCTCAAGCGATCGACCCGGTGGGCTTGAAGAGGTTTTGTACATCCAAGAACTGTAAAAAACAGGCGTCTAATTGGGATGTTTTACAGTATGCATATATAAGTAAAATAATTATAATAATACCTGCATTTACAGTGGATTGGCTGTTAACTTTAATTTATCTCTTGAAATCTGTTATTGGTGGAAGATTCTACTATTCTGTTTAGTTACGTTAGTAGTTATTTAGTTAGTACGTATTTTAATGCTTTTGATTGAACTGCACTTATCTATGCAGCTGATTTACATGTTACTTGAGTCTTTACTAGCTAAGATACTGCTAACATTTTACTAGCGCAACCTCATGTAGTAAGTTGCACTGCGATAGTTTCTATAGTAATAGTTTCAGGTTGCACTACAGGTTACTAAGAACTCAGGCGCTACAGTGTCTCAGTGTCTGTTAAACTGAGCTTTTTAGCACTCAATAGTGTTTATATCAGATATATGTAAACTGTACATAAATCAAGTGTCATGATGTTAATAATGTGTGAGTATGACTGATGTGTTAGTGATGTCACCACTTCAGAAAATGATCAATTTGATGTTTCTAAAGATGTCAAAGTTTTTGTGTTTTTTAAGCTACTCAGTTGATTCTTTTGAAATGTCACATAAATCAAATATTTGAAATTATGCATAAATGTGTCCTGTAGATCTTGTAAATAAATAATAATGGTAATTGTTTTGTATCCATGTCTCACCTTACTTGTGTGTGTTTCATCTGCTTGCTCTAATCAATATTTTTATATTATCAATGAGGTCAAATGACTGTCTGATAAGATATTAATCACAGTTGGAAAGGGAAAGATGAATGCGGCCAAGTACAGGGATATCCTGGACGAAAACCTTTTCCAGAGTGCTCTGGACCTCAGACTGGGCCGAAGGTTTACCTTCCAACAAGACAATGACCCTAAGCACACCGCTAAAATGACGAAGGAGTGGCTTCACAACAACTCCGTGGCTGTTCTTGAACGGCCCAGCCAGAGCCCTGACTTAAACCCAATTGAGCATCTCTGGAGAGACCTGAAAATGGCTGTCCACCAACATTTACCATCCAACCTGACAGAACTGGAGAGGATCTGCAAGGAGGAATGGCAGAGGATACCCAAATCCAGATGTGAAAAACTTGTTGCATCTTACCCAAAACGACTCATGGCTGTATTAGATCAAAAGGGTGCTTCTACTAACTACTGAGCAAAGGGTCTGAATACTTATGACCATGTGATATTTCAGTTTTTCTTTTTTAATAAATTTGCAAAAATTTCTACATTTCTGTTTTTTTCTGTCAAGATGGGGTGCTGAGTGTACATTACTGAGAAATAAAATGAACTTTTTTGATTTTTGGAAAATGGCTGCAATGAAACGAAGAGTGAAAAATTGAAAGGGGTCTGAATACTTTCCGTACCCACTGTATATGTTGATAATATGTCAATGTTGTGTGTTCAGGTTGTTTTGTTGGCCCCAAGTGAACAAATGATCAATAACACAGGTTGACACCCGATAACTAACTATGAGAAAAACTACAGATTTTCTTTCTTCTTTTTTTTATATGACTATGATGCAGTTTTTTTTTGTGAAAAAAATCATCTGTGAGTCAATTATAAGTAAAAATATGTAAGGAAAGTAAAACGTGTAGCTCTACACAAATATATTATCATTCAGGTACAGGACAGACTCAAACTTTGCTGTTTCACTTTTAGCTTATGATTGACAGTTATCAGCTTGAAACTCAAAATAGTCAATATTAGTTTAGCAAGCAAAATAAATAAATAATGATGATAAATACAGAAAGATATTAAATAAAACTATTTCATGAAATATGATATGATGGTTTGTCTGTAATTTCTTGCCTCATCCTTGTTGTTGTTGTTGCCCAGCAGGTGGCACTACCAACACAATTCAACACCAAAGTCAATCATGTTGACTCACATTTAAGAGTTGAAGAGCAATTAAAGAGGGTTTTTAAATTCTTCCTGATAAATTCATGTGAGGCATTTCCTCTTCCTCTGCATTTTTAGATGAGAGAGTTTCAGTTTTGGTCCATAAAGTAGAAAAGAGACCTTCCATGTAAAAAAAACAAAGCAATTTTTTCTTCACACACACAGAAAAAGACACTAGTAAAAAAAAACAACATCTGATTAACTCTTTTCCATTACTGTAAAATAAATAAATGGCTTTACATGCCATTATAATTATATTATTTATCTTCCAAAATCTAAATCTACATGTACTTTGAGCTCTCTCAAAATACATAAAGATACATAAACATAAAGCAACGTAGTTCCCCATAAGAACTTCCATGACTTTTATTAAAGCAATCAAATTTAAATCAAATGTATTATTCAAATAAGGACATGATTGGGGGTACAATAAAATACACAGAAGCAGTAAAAAAAAATACAATACACAGTAAAACAGACCCTCCAGGCTGCTTAACTTTTTTCCATTTAAGTATTAAGTAAGTATTAATAACTCTCAAATGGACTCCTAAGGTTTCACCCCGTCTTGTCAGTTCAAAGCTATCTTGTCAAAGTTGGCAAAGTGTGTCACTGAATAAAGAAGCTAAAGGTGGAGGGGGGGGGTAGGGGGTGGGGTTGCTGATTGCATGGTTTGTACTCCTGCTTCCCTCCTGAGCTCGTTACCACAGGGAGTTATAAATCAGCTAGCCCTCTTCTGTCACATTTCATTAGGATTATAGGCCGAACCACTCTGAGAGAGAGAGGGAAGGAAAAAACACACAGGCTCTTTGCTAACACTGTGTATTAATGTCCCATCATCAAATCAGCCAACGAAACAATCAGAAGTAAAGACAGATTTAAAGTTTCAGCAACCCCAAAATACACTTTACAGATAGAAGAAGCATAAACAACACATCTGACACTGTGAGGGACAACATGAGCAAAGGGTTTGTTTACATGCTCAAATAATTTGGCAGCTACAATCAAGCTACTGCCTCTAGTAGATATCCCTTCTCTGAAATTAGCATTTTTATAGTCATGTAGAAAGCAAAATATGTGACCCCTTATTTACAAAAAAAATTATTTTTGATTGATTACTTTCACACAGTCAGAATTTGCATTTATGGAACAAAATAACAGCCACTTAAAAGGATAGGTTCACAATTCACATTAACAAAAACAGGTTTGTCTTTAAAGAATAGTCAGGTGTCCTTCTGTACATCAAAAGTTCTGCATGCTTTAATCATTCCTCCTAAGGGAAAAGTTCCCTTCCTAAAGTAATTTCAGTGAAATAGATAGGGTCTGCAGTCTTTATACTGTGTAAAAAAGTTTATCTGAAGCTAATGTGAGAATTCAGCAGTCTGACTTGGATAAATTTCCCTCTATGAGTTACTACCCCAACCCTCTGATAGGCGGGTAAATACATAAATCCACTCTTTTTAACATGTACATACAAATCTAAGCATGTTGTATATACTGTTATTTCCAACTACTCCATAAAGTAACCTGTTACCTTACTCATTCCATATTTATTCCAGCTCTCAGCTCCTCAGTAGTGCACCACTGCACTACTGTCTTGTTTTTGTCATTTTTTATATACATACAGTATATATGTATATATACTTTATATAGTGTACTTTATATACTGTTCATATTTATATCTTTTTTTCACCTACTTGTATGTATATTTATGTTTACCTTTGTCCGGCTTTGTTTTCCTTGTTCTATTTCAAGAGCTACGACAAACTGGAGTCAAAGTCCTTGTATGTGTACACACATACTTGGCCAATAAAACTGATCCTGATTCTGCAGCTCAGCATGGAAACATTGTGGAAACCTGAATATTACATTTTGTACAAAAAAGATTATTACTTGAAAGATGCTCACGTGATTGACGTCACTTGCGTGTCACCTGTAAATAAACAGCTTTACCTGAACTTAGCTTAATTTTACAAAGTTCCTTCACCTCCAACTCCCTCTGTAGGTTATATAGTCCTGCATACCTCTCTGTCCAGGATCTCACCCACACTCAGAGCTTTTTTCCTCCTATTTTGGCCTTTTTAGTGCAATTGTCACTGCATATAAACAATGCAGGCTGCCAGTTGCTGTCCATGTATTTTGGTAGAAGAATGTGCATGTTTTTGCGGGATTTACATGGTCTTCTACTGCAAGAACTCCAGAGGATACTGACCAGGCAGTTTGATGTGTTGTTAAGTGGAGGCCTATTTACTGAATCACAACGTATGTGCTCCTTTCTGACGGTCTTGGGTTTAAAAAATCTGTGCAAGTTGGTGGAAACAATCTTTATGTGTGGTTTGTTCAGTCTTTCATTTCCATTGAAAAAGCTTTATGAAGGAGCAAGCAAAAAGTGTTAATGTTGATATAGGCACAAAATTTACTTGAACATTTTTAAACCTCTTCCTTAATATTTAAGTTTATTTTTATAAATATATGACAAAAATACAAGAGCAGACTCTTTTCAGTGGAGCGGAAGCTCCTCAGGTTGGTAAATCATTACTGACGATAATATTTAACTCTTTTTATTTAATGTATTTGTTAGACAAGAACATTCCTGGTCATGTATAATTTTATAAAATATGTGTGCGCAAAGCCTTCAAGAATTAAATATAGTTTCCAGGTTGGACTTTAATGTAAAAATTGTCTTTGAGGACTGCTAGAAACAAATTATAATGGTGTAGGATTTGAACTTACAACCTCTGCAAAATCTGTTTCTTATTTCAGCAGGGGTACCAGGGCTTTTCAATCTACAATGGCTCTGACACCAGGAATACTTATGTATGGAGTGAGATATACATATTTCATTAAAAAATAAATAAAAAGGAGATCAGATTTTATTTAATGTGGGTCTGGCTTTTGTATTGTTTATGAAGTTTTAGAACCCATGCATGACACCACAGAGAGTGGAGCACATATCTTTACCTTCACAGATAATATAATGTTCTCCAAGTACAGCCTCAGAAGCACAAACCTAAAAAATGTTGTACTATTTTGGTGGCCAAAAATAGCTAAAATTCCCTAATCGCAAAAATGTAAAATGTTTACTTTCTAAATACTAGTATATTCTACATATTTGATATATTTAGTCAGCCTCAACATGCAGTTAGGACTTTAGTGCCTTGCTTAAGGACACCTTGACAGAACACATGATTCAGAATGGACCCTGCAGGTATTAAACCTGTGTGTGTGTGTGTGTGTGTGTGTGTGTGTGTGTGTGTGTTTTACTTAGGGATGAACCACAAAGCCACTGAGCGCTGCAGTGATGTCACTGTATGACACCACCAGGCCTGAGCCAAAACCTGTTGCAACAATTACTAAAAAAAGACACGGGCCGAGGTGAGGCGTAACAAAAAGATCCCTATTAGAGGAGGCCATCAAACATCTCTGACACTCATAGCAAGCATCCACGATGCATGACGCCAAACGGTGGATTAGCAGGATGTTGACCCAATGAGGATGAGACTAGTGGCTTATAGCTGCAGTGTAGTAACTAGGCTACATTACCTGCGCATGAGCAGAGAGGTTAACTTTTCCCAAGTTGTTTTAATGTCTTAAGCAGACAAACAGCCAACTGGCACGCTGTCAGATAGTGACAATTAAGCTCATCTAATGATTTTAATTTTCTCATTGAAAGCTCTAATGTTGGCTGAAGACCATGTCGGAGGTTTTAGTGTCCTGACATGCACACACAAAGAACTGCAGAACTCACTTGA